TGTCCTTTAATTGGAAAAAACTCCCTTGCGCCCCCTCGGGTGCGGAAAAAGGAGGTGTGACAAACATAACATAACATAACATCACATAACATACATAACATAACATAATATAACATAACATAACATAACATAACATAACATAACATAACATAACATAACATAAAATAAACTAACAGCAATATAAGAAATATAGGAAGTACGAAAAAGATGGAAGATATAATAATATCCAGCAGATAAAGCCCTGCATCAGTAGCTGACCAGTAACATCCTAAGACTAACTCCTAACTGGCTAGTCTCACTCTAGTGCACTGTAGAAATACTTACAACTTCCCCCTAGCCTACAACCTTAATGCTCGACCTCCACACATCCCTGTCAAGGGTCATGTCCTCAGTAATCCTAAGTCGCGCCATGTCCTGCCTGATCACCTCTCCCCAATACTTCTTAGGTTTCTCTCTACCTCTCCTTGTGCCCACCACAGCCAGTCATTCACACCTCCTCACCGGTGCCTCAGTGGTCCTCCTCTGAATGTGCCAGAACCATCTGAGTCTTGCTTCCCGCATCTTATCCTCCATGGGGGCCACGCCCACCTTCTCTCGAATATCTTCATTCCTAATCTTATCCAATCTTGTTGCTCGCACATCCACCTCAACATCCTCATCTCTACTACTTTCATTTTCTGGATGTGTGAGTTCTTAACCGGCCAACACTCGGTCCCATACAACATGGCAGGCCTAACCACTGCTCTATAAAACTTACCTTGTAGTAACATTGACACTTTCTTGTCACACAAGACTCCCGACACTAACCTCCACTTCATCCACCCCACCCCTATACGGTGTGTGACATCCTCGTCGATCTCCCCGATCCCCTGAATAACTGACCCAAGGTACTTGAAACTACTCCTCTAGAAATGACTTGAGAGTCAAGCCTCACTTCCACTCCCGCTTCCGTCGGCTCGGCCCAAATTTGCACTCGAGGTATTCCGTCTTCGTCCTGCTCAACCTGAAGCCTTTAGACTCAAGGGCCTGTCTCCAAACCTCTAGCCTCTTGTTGACTCCGCCTCGTGTCTCATCAATTAGAACTATGTCATCAGCAAATAACATGCACCATGGCACATCTCCTTGAATATGATGAGTTAGTGCATCCATCACCAGGGCAAATAGGAAAGGGCTGAATGCAGACCCTTGGTGTAACCCCGTAACAACCGAAAAATGCTCGGAGTCGCCTCCTACTGTCTTGACCCGAGTCTTAGCTCCATCATACATGTCTTTAATCACCCTAATGTAGGCCGCCGGGACCCATTTAACCTCTAAGCAGCTCCATAAGGCCTCCCTAGGAACCATGTCGTACGCTTTCTCTAAATCAATAAACACCATGTGGAGATCCTTCTTCTTATCCCTGTATTGTTCCACCATCCTCCTAATAAGGTGGATAGCTTCTGTGGTAGATCGCCCCGGCATGAACCCGAACTGGTTGTCTGAAATAGACACAGTCTTTCGCACTCTCATTTCTACCACTCTCTCCCAGACTTTCATGGTATGACTCATTAATTTGATACCCCTATAGTTGTTACAACTCTGGATATCGCCTTTGTTTTTATACAACGGAACCATTTGGTCATCCGAAAGCAGCACGCCAGCACCTCCAGTTTGGTCTTCATATTGCCATCTATATTGGAAAAAATTGTATTTAAATATAAAGGTGACGTGTCGAGACACGTAGACTGGTCAAATGGTCAAAGAATTACAGCTAGCCAAGAGGCACGAGTTGCAACAGATATGGGCAAATGGCAGAGGAAGAGGCATAGACAGTTATTCAAATAACTTAGCGCCCGTACCTATCTAAGTCATTTATGTCCGAGAATCAAAAGGAATGAATCTGACAATAGAAAAGAGTGCAGATACGACATTTAATAGGCACTAAATGTGGAATACGTTAGAGAATTTGTATTGAATGTAATGATTATGTAATGTAGCATTCAATGTCTTTAATTACTCATAATAGCCTCATTATGATTTGGGCAAAACGTATATCTCCAAGATATCTATAAAAGGGAGATATCTGATCAATTGTAAGGACACGAAAACACTATTGGAATAAACTTTGATTTACTTGTTTTTCTCTTGATTACTCTCTTGCTATCTAAATTACTTCCTTTTATACATTCTTTTGATTATCAGTAACCCGTGTTCTTCTAAATTCTAGCTTTGACTAAAATTTAATTTTTTGGTTAAACACCATCAATATTAAGTTTAATTTTTCATACACAATTAGAAGATCAAGCTATTCAGTTTGGCTTGTTTAGAAGATATTTTTCTAGTAAATTACGATTTTTCTAGTATAATCATAATCTGTTTATATAAGTATTGTAAGTACATTTCTTTTTAATCAAATTTATTTTTCGTTCTTTTCATATATATCACATAGTTGAAAATTGAATATAGCACTACAAAAGAATTCCATGATATTATTAATAATACCATAATCTATTCAAATGTTCACAAGTCACAACATCAATTTTATTTTGTGAGATGAACTTATTTTATGTATATTTAGGCTTTAAACACGCCTTGATAAGATATGAATAGTCCGGCACAAAAAAATGGAAATGATCCGAACTCAACCTCCGGTTAGAACTTCAAAGCTCTCCAAACATGTAGAAAATGAAGATGAAAAAGCAGAACTTTTATCTCAAGTCAGAATAGGCTTATTTGAACTCCCTCGTTGCCGTTAGACAACAATTTTGGGTATGTTTAATTAACCTCTCTGGCGCTTGGACAATGTGCATTTCACCTTGAGTGACACGTCAAATAACAGTGGGTTATTTGCTACACTTAAAACATATATTAAGTAATAAATCTCTGATAATCATAGCGCGCCAAGAGACCCGTAACACTACAAAACTAAACCGCCTTTGCACTTCGTACCGCCAAAACGCCCCCCGTCGGAACCACCGCCACCACGACGGCGACGATCGACGGTCGACGACGGCGACATTTGTAAAAATGGGAAAACCAAAACAACAAGTAATTTCCCGCTTCTTTGCACCAAAACCAAAGAACGAAAAAGACCCTATAACTTCAACTTCAACCTCAACTCCTCCCTGTACTCTACCTCCCAAAATTACTACCACTGTCACCTTTTCACCTGCAAAACGCCTCAGAACTTCTCAACTCACTTCTCCTCCTCCCACAAAACACACCAAAATCCCTAAGCTATCACCCCACGTACACAACCCACCCCCTCCTCTTCCTAACCCCACTCTCCACCAGAGGTTCCTGGATAAACTTCTAGAACCATCTACCGACCTTCTGGAACCTTCCAAATGTTATGATATTCGAAACCCCAAGTACACACCATTAGAGCAACAAGTTGTGGAGCTTAAGGCCAAGTATCCAGACATTTTATTGATGATCGAAGTTGGTTATAAGTACAGATTTTTTGGTCAGGATGCAGAAAATGCTGCTAGGGTTTTAGGAATTTATGCACATATGGATCACAATTTCTTAACAGCTAGTGTACCGACTTTTCGGCTGAATGTCCACGTAAGGAGGCTGGTGAGTGCAGGATACAAAGTTGGTGTTGTTAAGCAAACGGAGACTGCTGCAATTAAGGCACATGGCTCGAATAAATTGGNTTGAATGTCCATGTAAGGAGGCTGGTGAATGCAGGATACAAAGTTGGTGTTGTTAAACAAACGGAGACTGCTGCAATTAAGGCACATGGCTCAAATAAATTGGGCCCTTTTGGCCGTGAGTTATCAGCATTGTACACGAAAGCTACTCTGGAGTCTTCGGAAGATGTAGGGGGTGGAGATGAGGGGTTTGGGTCATGTAATAACTATTTGGTTTGTGTTGTCGAGAAGGGAATCGAGGATTTTGATTTTGGGATTGAGGGTTGTAGGGGGTTTGATGTGAAAATTGGGGTTGTTGGGGTTGAGGTTTCGACGGGGGATGTTGTTTATGGGGAGTTTATTGATAATTTTATGAGGGCCGGGTTGGAGGCGATGATCCTCAACTTGTTGCCAGCTGAATTGCTTGTTGGCAGGCCTATATCTAAGCAGTCAGAGAAGGTGATTGATTATTACTGGAAAACAATTATTACTCATTTGTGTGCAAATCTCTCATAGAACTAAAAGGAACCTTTGGTTTCTCACATTGACTTCGTATTTATGGAAATGCAATATTCAGTTTGTTGAAAAATTAAGAGAATTAAAATTTCTCACTCTCTAAAAGCTTAAACTTTTAATAAAGGGAGCTGTACAGTAAAAGTATATATTAGTAGTTTGTTCTGTTGCAGATTCATTGTTAATTGTATCTGCATTGATTTCTAGATTGAAGACTGAACCAAAGAATCTTTATCAATGGTGTCTTGTTTGAGGCAAGAACAACAGTGAAGCTTAATCAGCAAAACTCGAGCTGACCATGTATAAAATAAGATTCATGTTTGCCAGATCTCTAATGGAGCAAAATTATGCAGGCATGTCATCCTGATTCAGGCTGGGGTAGAACTGCCTCCCGTTTTGATGAAAATAATGGCCCACTCCTCGTCCTTTACCACAACACGTTGTAAACAAATTGCAAATTTTAGGATGTACGACCTTTTCTTTTTCGGGAATATGGTCCATTTGTTTCTATTACTGGACGAACAAATTTGTGTAACTCACAAACAGGGTAGTTGTTTGTACTCCAGCAGACCAGCCCAACTACGAGTTGCCACTCATATGACCAAGCTAGCAAGTTATTGTAGCCTAGAGAAGGTGCATATCCAAGTGAGATGAATGTAATGTTTTAATATTTGAAGAATATACGGAGTGATTACTCACCGAAATAACACAGGAAATTAGTTAAATAATTAGTTTGAAGGTAGAGCACTTCGTACTTTTGTTTGCTTTGTCCAAAATTTCTTGGTGATATCATCTAGAGGTTTTGGACATGAAGTTATTGGTTTATTATTCAGTTTAGAGTTGTGCTTTTGGATGTTCACCTTCATGGGGTAATGCCATCATATTGAAGCTTGTATGGAACTTATCCAAAAAGATAATAATTGAAGTTCGTATATATATTATTTCAATTGAATGTCGGAGCAGTCTTGATGACATCGTTGAAAGTCGCCTAGTGACTCTTATGAATGTATTTCTTCAAAGCTCAGAGGTTCTGCTTTAATTTATTATATTCTTTTCAGCTGCTACTGGCTTATGCTGGACCGGCATCTAATGTTCGGGTGGAGGATGTATCATCAGACCAGTTCAGTGATGGCGGTGCTCTTGCTGAAGTGATGTCTCTATATGAGGGCATGCGGGAAAATTATTTGTTAAATGTCCAAGAAAGGGAAGAGGCTGAGGTGAAAATGCACGAACAGAATCGAATTGCAATCCAGGTGTAATTTCTACACTTGGATTTGGAGACTGAGCAGTCTAAATTTTTAATATACCATGTAGCAGATGGAATCAAACTGTCAAAATTTGATATCTTCATATCTTTTGCAAACATGTTTATACTTTCTTATTTTATGTTTTTTTTTTGGGTTCACTATGGTATTGGGTTTCTTTGTGCATTAATTATGCCTCCTTCTTTCATCTTATTTTATTTTGATCTGTAGGGAATTATGGTAATGCCTGGTCTGGCTATACAAGCATTGGCCTTAATTATTAGACATCTAAAACAGTTTGGTTTGGAAAGAGTTCTGTGCTTGGGAGCTTCATTTCGTCCCTTCTCTGGCAACATGGAGATGACCCTTTCAGCCAATGCACTGCAGCAACTTGAGGTGAGTGGTTTAACGCTCCCCCACCCCAAAGCAGATAAACCAAAGAAAAAATTTGATATATTCCATTAATGAACTTTAGTAACTTTGGGACTTCCAGGCATGAGCAATGCATTTTCTTATTGTTTTCACGTGTTCTTCGCCGAAGCTTCCTTCTCAAAGCAATAGTTGATGGGACTCAAAACTAAAGGAGGGTGTGACTGCTGCAATTTATAAGAATTGAAGCATGAAGTAAGCAAAATTAGTTGGGGTTAAGGGGAACCATCTGTAAATGTGAACCTCAGTAAACTTGAGCTCGATTAACATAACNGTGTGATTGCTACAATTAATAGGACTTTGAAGCATGGAGTAAGCAAAATTAGTTGGGTCTAGGGGAACCATCTGTAAATGTGAACCTCAGTAAACTTGAGCTCGATTGACATAACTTTGTTTTCATTATAGGATCTAAATTTGCTTTGATGACAGCATTTAATGTTTCTGTGACAAGTCGACTCCATACCATAAGGCAGATAAGCATTTAAACAAGCAATTGTCAGTCTTCTGATTGATTTAATCAAACTAGTGAAACTTGTAATATAGATATAGTCTTAATGTGGATAATATTCCCAGTTTGAAGGCAACTGCCGACTCTCTGTACCTGAAACATTTGTAGAATTGGTTAAAACATCACAAGTATATG